GATCAAACAATTAGTAGATGACGAAAATACCGCGGAAGCTAGACATGACTGGCAAGAGTGGGTTCTACAACAGGTATGGCTCACATTTATTTGCTGAACTTCAGATTTCCAAGAACTGACAGAATGTATTCCTCATAAACAATCCCTCAGGCTATCGAGATTGTTAATACACAAAAAACTCCTCGTCGGAACACTGCTACAAAAAAAAGTGCATATGTGAATGCAACAAAACTCGAAGACACTTTCTTTAACGGAAGCGAAGAGAACAGACGCAATGCAATGCTAAAGGACAGCATGAATTTCATGTGGAGGTTGATAGAAGCAAAATTAGAATATAGTCATCATGATCAGCTTTCTAAAGACTTCGATACAGATGAAGCAGACCCTGAAGATTCCTCTTCTGATTTCGAAGGAGAATTCGAGAATGAATTGGACGATCCTGACAAAGATCCGACTGAGCACGTTGAAGGGAGGATGTATGTAAGATCAAAGGACAAGAGAGTTAATTTGAGAAATCGTCTACAGGCAGTAAGTTGCAGTCGATCTCTTTTTTGAAAGATACCTTTACAAGCTTAGTTGAAACTGATACTTTTGTTGTTTGATTCAAACACAGATCAACGCCACATTGATGGGAATGCTTGCCTTTGCTTGCAATCGCCGATGTAATAGTCTCCAAGTCGAGAACTCGCTTACCTTCTTAGCATGTGGTGTCACCGAGAGAATCAATAGTTACCTGAACTATATCGGATTAACCTGTTCCCGGTCAACTGCGATGAACGGTCTAGCAAGTTTAGGAAAACAGGCAGTAAAAAAGATTCGAGTAGTGATGTCAAAGAAATTGGTCTTATCGCCTGTGATTGTTCTAGATAACATTGACATTCAGGAGCGTATCCACCACGAAAGAATTGATCAGCAGACTCAGATGTATCATGGTTCTTGGGGTTACATCCATCAATTAAACCCCAAACTACTCAAGGATCTAGACACCGGAGCATTCAGCAAAGACAACATTCGACATATCTTACAGATGACTGCACGAAAAAAAATAGACTTGGGCCTCTTGATGCCGACTGAAGATGAACAAAGTCGGTGGATTCTAACTCTCAAGAATCAGATTGCCTCTGTCTTTCTCCGCTATGTCAAAAATAAAAGGAATGTTTCAAACTCGAATTTCTTGAACGTGGCGCCACTTGATCAAATTAAATGTCAAGTTCCAAATATCCTGATGCTCAGAATGATGGATTCAACTGATAATGGATCTGATGGAGTTGGTCAGCTGTGGCAGGAAGTGATTGGCCAATCCGGTTTGACCAAAGAAGAATTTTCAAACCGAACTCACATTTTGGAGGGTGATCTTGGTACTTGCCTCAACTTTGATGGACTACGAAATCAGCGTGAAGCAACAAAGATCGCAGATGAGAATTTAGAGAATATCTTACTTCTTCCAGGTGCTGGACATACAATTTGGAATATTGCTCAAGCCATTCTTCTCCATCATTGGGGAGACCCATCCGACATGAATGATTTTGGCGCATGGCAGACTGTTGTTGCCCTTTCAGGAAAAAAAGCACCTCCAACAGCAAAGAAAGATTTCACATCAATGCTTCGATGGATCGAGAAAATTCATGAAGCCACAATAACCTATGCACTTCTGTAAAGATTTTTTTTTTTGGTAGAACAAAACGATTTGAAACTGACACCTTTGAAAATACACAGTGAAATCCTTGGCAAGACTGAACTAGATCTTGAAGAAAGGTTTGATACAAATGCTGTTGAATTTGACAAAGTTATTGATAAAACATTTGAAATCATCTTTTCAACATCAGCGCTTCCTGCAGCCCAAAAGGATCAAGACCAGCGTAAATGCCAGCTTTTGCTGAGGTTACGAGACTTTGCGACTGTTGTCGAAGCAAAGCGAGCAATGTCTGCGGGAGATATCGGCCGTCTCATGCTTATGTGGAAGAGATGGAGTGTGATGATTCAAGGAATGAATGGTCTCACTCATTACTCAACCTATCTTCCACGAGTGGTTGTTCTCTTAACCAAAACACTCCCACAGCCAATGGCTCATGTCATTTTACATTCAATGTTAATTGCTCCAAGCGGACGACAAAATCACTTTGTGGCCAAGGATTTTTTCCTTGAAGTTCAAAACTATTGGATAAAGTATTTCTACAATAGATCGGTGAGTTATTCTCTTTGATATACTATTAAAGTGGATGTTGATCTATATAGTGGTTTTGAATTCACATAGGGGAGTGGGACAGAAATTTCTCGCTTGAGGGATACATTTTCAATATGTGTACCCCATGTGAGTAATTTGTGAGCTATATCATGGTCTGATTTGATGATCCTGACTCATCTGCTTTTCAGCTCCGGAAGCTCCTTCATACACTCAAGGGGCGCTCAGGGTTAAATGACACATACCAGTCATCAAAGACATTGCTCACACTCAATACAGTTCAGAACTTTGTTGGCTTTGCTCGAGATAACAACTTAATTAGCTGTCAAGCCGGATCAACAATAAGAAGTGGTCTGATTCCTGATATCTATCTCCTCGGAACAGTCAAACTGTCTCAAGATTCTCTGAGCGGGACAAATGACTGATTTCATTGGCCCTTTCGAGGGATCTACAATTCCGAAGTCACATCAAATGTGGAAGAAGAGTCAGATCCATACGAGTTTCAAATTGATCCTGAGCTGCGTGATTGGGAGGCAGGAGAATAAACAGGCAAGTCTCACCTTTGATACTCCAGCTCTTTTGCCTCACGATCATTTTCTTGAACACCTTCTCGTAGCCATTGCATCATCCTCTGATTCCGAAATTTGACTTTTTCTTTTTCAATATCATCTTGGGCGCGCTTATGCCTCTTTGATTCCGCTTGTTCATGCTTTCTTCTCCTCTCATCAATCTTCTCCTGTGATTTTCGCGCTTTCTCATCGGCTTTCTTTTTTTGATCCGAGGAATTTTCCAGTTGCTTCATTTTCCGATCAGCATCTTGTTTTTCTAGCCTTTCAATTGTAATTTGATTGTTGAGGTCAGAAATCTGTTTCTCCTCTTTGATTCGTTTGTAGTGTTGCTCGCCACAAAAGTCGGATTTCCAATCCAAGATTGTTTTAAGTAGGTGTTTTATGCTTCCCAACAAAGCATCACCACCGATAACTTCACTTAAGTCCTCTTCAGTATTGATTGATTCAATGTGATCAATTATTTTGTTAAGATGAATTTCTCCAAAAAGGACAGACGGCGGAAACGGAGCCTGATCCTTGTAGATCGATCCAAAGTGATCTGAGAACACTTGCGTTAGCTCGTGTATCAGGTCAAGGAAGTCGATGTCTTCAGTCTCTCTAGATTGATTGACTTTCTTTCGCTTGTTTACAATAGTACCACTTTTCTCTGCTGCTTTCATCCCAGCTGGACTATAGTCGGCATCGGGGTCAAGTGATCGTGGGTCTTTTAAACCCTCTTCGAAGTTGGATGATGTAAACAAGTGGAGGTTCCGGACTAGGATTTCACACTCCTCTGGCTCACAAATTTCGCAGTGACAAGGTGGAAAGCCTTGATCTTTTTGACGCTGAGCTTCATTTCGAACAGAATCATGATCGGGATACATTGGAATAAATCCTGTTCTATGTACACAACAACCAAAGTGAGATTTAGGATTGACCAAAGATGAAAAAGCTAGAGTATCAACCTACGTGTTTGCAAGCACCAAAGCAATCCTCACACAGACTTTTGAACCTTCAACGCATCCATTCTCTGGTCATCTGTTTGTGAAGTCATGTCTTTGAAGTCATCTATCGAATTTAAACCTTCTTTTCGAGTCTCTTCAAGGTAGATCACAGCAAGCCCAGGCCTCTTGTTCCTTCCGACTCGACCAACCACTTGTGTAACTTCAGAAAGACCAGCTCGGCCGAGCTGAACAACAATCCTTGCATGAGTCCAATTTTGTCCAAGACCAAGAGCACTTGTACATGACATTATCGGAAATTTACGATCTGTATAATCCTGAATACGATTAAGCTTTGTTTGATCTCCCGAACAAGAATGATAACGTTGACCAAAGGTGCTATCCGGATTGGACTCGTCACCTTTAGTATCTCGAGATCTGTTCATTGCTCTGAGAGAATGCATAGTGCCGTTGCGAGAGCCTGAGTAGACAAGGGTTGGGACAACCTCGCTGTCGGGTATGTCGACTCTCTTGGAGAAATGTTTGTTGAGAAAGTCGAGAGATCCCATTGCTGCTACTCCAACTCTCAGAATTTGGATTTCCGGCCGACACAACTCGCCTTTCAAAACTGTTATGTCTTCGCGTTTGATACTGAGATTATTGATAATGGCATCAAAGTGTGGTGCTGGACAGGTAGCTGACATTAACAAGAGTGGTACATGTTGAGTTGCCATAAGTTGTAAGCAGAGCTTTCCCCACAAAGGTCGAAATTTGCCACCATCCTGCTCTTTTTTGACGACACTCATATGCTTCGCCTGACCACTTTCAACCAAACCCCATTCGTAGATCATGTGGGCTTCATCAACGACTTTCAAAATCAGCCGTCTCCGAAACCAGATGCTATTATAGATTCTCAGCCAGGTACGATTCGTAAGAAAAATTTCCGGGCTCTGATTTTTCAACATAATACAACACCAATCAGTTTAAAAAATATTGTACAAAACTGTGATGGTTATCATGAAGCATCAAAGAAATGCAACGTACCAGATAGATGAAGGAATACACACCCTTTTCAATATCGTGTGCCACCTCCGAAGTAAAGTTCAAGGCAGTTAAATTTACTGCCTTCAAGCCATCCTTCCTCTTTTCCAAAACTTGATTGTCTCCCAAGGCATCGAGTGGGTTGAGGATGAGTACAATGCCAAGTGACTTCACACTGAATAGCGATCTAAAAACCTCAGCAATACATGTCTTTCCGTATCCAGTACCAGCAATCAAAAATACGATTTCCTTTCTAGCCGCAGCCAGAACCGCCTTGTTTTGCAATTCTCAAGCGTCCTGATTATACTTCTTCAGGAATTTCAATCCAATATAAGAAGCGAGTTCTTGATTTGATTTGCTTGAGATTGCCTTATTAAGGATAACAGGTGGTAGATCGCCCGTCACGGACGAAAGCTTTTCAGACACATCCGAAGGTCGAGCTGGCGATGACTTTGATGGATCCATATGAGAATATAAACAGGAGTCGATCGGATTTCATCAACGGTTGAAATCGGTAAATTCTTTCTGAAGATGATTTCCTTTCTCGAGATTCGTTTCTTTTCTCAGAACTCGTTTCTTTTCATCGCTGCATGGGTCGCTACCGAGGCAAGTTTCTGACATGCCCTCGGTTGAATCTGAGCTTTCAATCAACTCTCTGTAATGTCTCTGAACAAAATTGTTACTCGTTTCCCATCTGGATTCTTGCGAGATGGCACAATTCGATTCTTTTTTTTTTCTAATGGAAGTTATGTACAAGATCAAGAGCTAACACGAGCCAGTTTCAGAAATGAGACCATCGTGATAATGAATGGGATGGGATGGATCATAGCCCAATGTGACCCAAATTTGGCTTTTGGGGCCTATTGGTCACACCAGGGATGTCGTTTAATGTGCAAGTCCCTCGTGCCTCGGCTTCGGGTTACCGTGAGCTTTTGCACGATTGGACTTGGGTTAAGTTAGATCGCCAAATGCTGTTGAGGTCGATCAAGTGGCTTGAATGATGGTGTGTGTGTGAATTGGCGGTAATTGTGCTTTCCTACAGCAAGGAGTGACGGCCTCAAGACGTCGAAACCTAGTCACACCGTTTGGACGAGCAATAATTTCCCACAGCCAGATCTTTGAGTGCCAACTTGCCAAGCCTATTGTGATCAAGAGAGATGACCAGGGTTTGAGTTGTTTTGGTTTCGAACAAATCAAACGAATCGATCCTATCCATGCCTTTCAAGCAGTTCTCAACAAACTTGACTATGTATGTTTGGACGATCGGAGGACACATCCATCCTTTCCTGAAATTGATCGGTCCGAGGTTAGTGAACTCGTAATTAGCTGATCATTCCCAAATCAAAAAGTCCAAACATTGCAGTTTAGTACCCCAATGATCGTATCGATTATGAGGACCTCAAGAGGGAGCCTCCGAGCCGCATTGGCTATCGAAAACTTCCTCTCTATCAGCTGAGATTATTCGCCATTCTGTCCTGTACCACAATATCCGAATTTATTGATAATCAGTAGAAGCTCAATCGTCTTACGACCTGGAAGTTGGATAACAACGCACTCGAATTTCTATCTCATCGTGTCAACTGAGCGTCTTGAGCTATTTCAATTTTCGTCATGAAATCTGCTCATTGGAGGGACAATACAAAGGCAAGTCGGTACCCACCTTGTTCTTCGGCTGTTCGACAATCAGTCGGAGATGGATTTCAAACGGAGGCTTCAAAAGCCTTTGGTGATTTTTTCCTTCGAGGTCATCTGGAAGAGCCGATGCCCAATAACGCACGAGACTTCTCTGTCTCTGAAGAATTTCAACTCGAATCTGAAGTTTTGATGAGGAGAAAAGAGGAAAAAGCAGCTTTTCGAAAGTTGGATCGCAGGTTAGTTCATATTTTTGCATTCATTCGTTCTTCCCTGGATCATAGCGACGCATTATCACTTCATATGGCTTTCAATCTTGACTTTTGAAGCTAACTTGAATCCTCCATGATAGGATTTTACCACTCTTGTCGCTTTTTACTTTTTGTCTATATCTCGACCCCAAGAACATGTGTAAGTGATTTTCTGCATACACACCGACCAGTTTTGACTCGGCAAAATAATGACATGATAACTGCAATTCTTCCTGTGACGTATCAGTAGACCTGCGGACGCTGGTAAGTAGGTCTAATCA